TGGATGTATCATGAACTTTTTCCTAATCAGTGATTTCATATTAATCTTGTTTTAGGACAGAACCTTGAGACTATGGAATATTGAAGAAATTGACCAAATTCCTTTGGTAATCAAGTACAAGAAGACCAAGGGATTAAAGGTGAAACAGGTTGGTACTGGGCCAAATTAAGCCCACTTAAGACTTTCATTAGTCTGTTGCAAATGACTTTATTCTCTGAACAAACATGTATTGGACAACTGGGTATTCACGCATAGAAGTAAAATCCTTGCCCTGTAGGAGCTTAAATTCTAAGAGACAGACAAGGTGTAAAGCTACAAGGAAGATGTGCAGTAAGTTACAGAGTGACCATAATTTGAAGGAAATGGCACAGGAAGAGAGAATGGGAGTGGTAGGCTTGCAGTATATTTGGCCAGGACAGGTCCCGCAGAGAAGGTGGCTGAGCACAGCCTGGAAAGTGATGGGGTAATCCAGGGTGATGTTCCGGGGATGAACTCCCCTGCATGGGCTACTGTACTCCAGCTGCAGACCCCCGGCCGGGCCCCTGTACCCCATTCCATGCAGGAGGCTCAGGAAGTCACACTTCTCCAGGGTGAGCAGAAGCAGGTAGGATGGGTGAGGGTCTGTGGGCTGCGGACAATGGTAGGCCAAGACAATGAATGAGGATGCTGATGCCTGCATTAGCCAAGTAAAAACCTGTGCTTGTTCTGTCCAGCCTGCCTGCTTCTCACGGTTCTGTAAAAGCCAGGCATCCCCAGCTTGTCAAGGTATCAGCAGGTCCCCTGGGCTCCACAGTTCTGCTCTGCACAGAGCAGCAGACAGGGCTAGGCACTCCCCCATCTTTATCACCACCAAGGCCCTGCCCGCAGGCCCTGCCCTCCATGCCTGCTTAGCTTTGGAGCGGGGAGAGGGAGCAGAAGCCTGTCCTCACCCAGTGGCATGCGGTAGCCACTCTGGGATCGGAGTCTCCAGAGCAGGAGCTGTGCTGTGGCCCAGCCAGGGTAGCTGGGTGGAGCTGGGGGCGGGCAGGGAACTTCACCTCCATCCCTTGGTCTCCTCTGACCAGCATCTCCTGCTCCTGTCTTATGATTTTCCGTGGCAGTGTGAAGGATGTGACAGGGCTTTCTCCACCTTCAAAAGTGACAGCTCTTCTGAAATATTCACCAAGTGTGTGTTCTGCCGGAGAGAGGCACAGGACTTGGCCCTGGAGACCTTACCGTCACCGGAGGAAGAGACCCAGGACTGATGGCCACTGGACCCTTGGAGTGACGTGAGCCTCGGTCACCTGGCACGCAGCTTGCAGGGCTCTGTCGGGACCCCTCTGAGACC